ACACACACAGACACACACACAGAACAGTGCACTTCTGGTGAGAAGACAATACTTTCCCATTGTTTAAATTTAATAATACTAAGTATTTGATCTGGTCTGGAAACAGCAGCCCCAATTATAGTTAATCAGTGCCTTCTACAGACATCAACCACATTTCATTCATTCTGTTTTGCTCCCTTGCACAGGATGGTCCATTAGTTTTGTCGTGATATTTGTACCTCTGAGTCTGAAGGTGTAGTGCTCAAACACGGCTTAAGATAGATGTTACAAGCAAAAATCAGAACTCTTGTCATGGTTTATGGGCCAAGATCCAGTGAGTTATTCACATATAGCAGATGTAAGCAATTCCCTCATTATGTGAGTTGTAGGAGTTTAAGAGAAATATTCTGCTGTATAGAATAACCAGATCTAGTTGCTGTCATAAAAATGGTAGCTAGATTGCAACTTCTTTTTCTACTTTGTGTTTTCTCCACAGAAGGAATATGCAGAGATAAAAATAGCAATTACAATTAGCAAAACAAAAAGAAAAGTAAGATTGTCTAGGATACCTTCCAACGTTGGTACCGGGACTGGGTGACAAATGCACCAGATAAGTTTTTGTCCACAATGGATTACAGTCTGAGGGCAACATGCCAGTGATTTCTTAATGAATTCCCTTATATGGTTAAAAAATCCCTTGCTCGCACTATAAACTTGGAAAGTCACTCCTCCTTTCACAAATGTTTACTTTCTTTATAAACACACATCATTTGTGGTGATACTCCTCTGATGCCATATTTTTGCTTATTTTTATTCCATGCTTTTCCAAATCTTCCAGACACCCTCTTTTTACATGGAGGCAGGACAGTCTCATTGTTGATTGGTATCATGGCATTTCAGAGTTAACCTGTAGAGGGTGTGCTGATAGCATGGTCTGTCAATAGTGCCAAGTCGACACTGTCCAAGTTTGCCTTACCACAATTTATTTTAATCTAACAGTATAAAAAGCAATGTGTGGGGCCTGGAAATTTTGTGCAATTTATTCAGAAATTTTCCAAAAAAGTTAACTAGATTATAAGATGCCAATTTCTCTTACTCAATGCTGTGGAATTCAACTTTTCGGAGTTCTGCCGTTGGATTGTCATCACCATTTTGCAAGAAGCAGAGAGTTGTTTTTTTATCCCAGTTTCCTGATATTCATGGTGGTGATTGCCACAGTCTGAAAAGTGTGAACTCTGCCACGCTTTATTCCATGTGACCTCTCGGAAGGTCTGCTAGCAAAAGGGAGGCTGCAACTTGAGAATTTTGCCAAAGTTCCTGTTTGGAATTGATGGCAAGTGGCAGAGTCATTGCCTCAGATTATAGAAATTAATTCAAACTCATCAATGGTGAGTCCTCATGAATAACTGAAAATAATACCTGGCACTTGGGGATTGTGACTTGTTCACACCCTTGTTTATCAAATGCACTGACCTGCCTCACGTGAAAATGCAAGTTGCGATGCTGACAAAGTTGGCATTTGATGCCTGCTGATTAGGAATAAGTGAAAAATCATCTGGATTTTGTGATCAACAGCCAAGAAACCCAAGTGATTGATTATAAGGTGTAGTCAATATTTGCGCGTGTTTTCAAAAAAACATGTAAATGGAGATTGAATATATAAGCTTACTACATATTGTGGTTGCGATTGGATCATCAAGGTAATAAATATATTAACTATAACTGTGACCTTAATTATATAAATTTAATGTTCATTTTCATTCAGTAAAAGAAGGCTGTCATTCTCCCTTGTATTAGATAATGCTGTTGTCGTTTAGGCACTGTGTGTTTATTCTATAGCAGTGATCTGTGAAGCTGCAAATGTCAGATTCCTATCTCTGTTTCTATTTATATGGAGTTGAGATAATTCCAGTCGAAGCCATATGCTTCTCAGAGCAAAATGAGAAAGCAGGGCAAATGTTTACCTCAGGACTAATCATGGCCCAGAAAATAGAGTTGCAAAGTATTCCCAATAATGTTCAAAACTGGACATGGACAGAAGAGAGATAAATATTGAATCATGCTTACCATCTGATATTTGTTTTGCTGCAAATGAAAATTAATTGATTTAGTCCTTAATGGTCCAACATCAGGAACAAAAGAAAATTACTCCTGTTTAAACAATATTGCATGAATTTGGCCTTCATTTCCAGACAATTAACTCAAAGTGAGTCCAAGACTGTAAACAATGTTAAATATAGGAACAGAACTCATCCCAAACTCTGGGCCAAGATCTATAAAGGAACATAAAAATCTAAAAGATGGAGAAAAATTCTTTAAACCATGATTAATGCACTGTTTTGTCATTATTTAAAATAAAACCAAACCCTTTTCTCATTTTGATAGAGGAAGTGCTGCTGCTTGGCTCTTACTTATGTGCCTTTGAGAAAGTGCTTTTTTGTGGCTATGTCACAAGAGAATACAGCATTCTGGGACCAAAAAAGCATTTGGAAGAAATTAAACTGTTTGATATGTAGCAGCTGTGAGGAGAACTTCAATGGAAATGCAAATTTTGGCCATAGCTTTCATCTGCTACACATATTTTCAGTCAAATAAAATCACAGGATACTCCATAAAGAATCATGAAATCCAGAAGATTATCTCAGCTGAGGAAGTAACAGCGTGGGTAATAAAGCTGAGATAACAAGGTGCAGAGCTGGATGAACACAGCAGGCCAAGCAGGATCGGAGGAGCAGGAAGGCTGATGTTTCGGGCCTAGACCATCACCATCTCCAACGTCCTCTCACATTACCTATGCGTATCTTTTGCAGATTCTTTGTGTCTTCCTCACAACTTTCTTTCCTACCTATTATTGTATTTTCAGCAAATTTGTCAAAGTTATTCATATGATTCTAAGTAGATGAGGACCGAACTCTGATCGCCATGGTACTTCACTAGTTAGTTTTTAACCTGAAAATAACTCGTGACTTTCTGTCACTTAGTTTCTCCTCCAGCCATGTTATTTTATCACACCAACACCATTAGCTCTTATCGTGTGCAGAAAACTTTTATAATGCCTTAACAAATTCCTCTATATCACTCACTCTCTCACTCCCTCCCACCATCTCTCTTTCCCTCTTTTACTGACTCTCTCCGGGTCTCTCACTCATTCGCTCACTCACTCACTCATTATACCAAATTCCCTCACTCATCAAGTTCAATATTCGCTCAAAGCTGGCCTTCATGCATTAGAAAAAAGACCTCCTTATTTATAATAGGTAGAATTTCATAGACATGGATTACATCCTGTTGGCTCAGAACCAGTTCCAATTAGCTATCTAATTAATTAAATGTGGGGCTAGCACAAGAATAAAGCTTCTTTTTATGACTGATTTAAGATTGGAATAAACTATAAAACAATGTGAAAGTAAAATTCGAATGCTGACTGTAACAGTTAACTCAATTTTAGAAAAAGAGCCAATGTTAAAACTCTTGGGAATTTGACAAGTCTGATATCAGTATCTGTTGAAGATATATTCCATCAAGATCATCTTTGTGCTACTTACATGTTGATGCAGTTAGTCTGTGTTGAAATAGTTGTCCATATTGTTACCATGCCATTGTTTAATTGAAGATCTTCATGTTTCAGTTAGTGGAGTGTATGGAAAAGAATGCCAGAACATTTTTTCAATGTTGAATTTAAACTCCCCCAGCAGTCATTCACACTGACTTAGCCAGTGATGCCATATTGCATGAAGAGGTGAAACAAAAAAGAACTGGTCAAAAATGGCAATAAGTTGTGTATGGAGCATTTGTGGGACTCTGGTATTGCTGAAAGGCAATTGTTCTATAAATATGTCTTCCTTGGTAGATATGTGCAATGATGCCTGTGGCAGTTTCTTTTTGTACAAATCTCCCTAAATCTCAATCTCGCAGCAATAAATTATTTCAAATTTTTAGAGATTGGATCTGAATATGTGCGATTTTGCATATGAAGATTGTGTTATAGATTATGTATTGTAGCATGAGTTTGTTTATATGTATTATTGGCTTGCTTATGTCTCACGTTTATCCTAAAGCCAGATTGAGAATATTTATTTTCATAATTTCTATCAATTTGTTCTCTGAATGTCTCGGTAAGGGTAGCTTGCCAGCCCTCATTTGTAGGCCTGTCAACTCTGTTTGGATTTATTCCTGGGAGTTTTAACACATAACTTCCCTGTTCCAATTGCCTTGACCCCACATTTGGTTGCCCACCCCATTCATTCTTTTCCCACACTGCCTCCCCACATTGACTACAAAATGAACATATACTGTACCAACCAATTGGATAATGCTATAAACCCCCTTATCAGGAATAACAGAAAAGTTCAAGAAAATGAAAATCTGCCAAATCATTTAATTCTCCAATGATCAATTTGCTGTCCTATGCATCATGGTCATTAATTCTTGGAAACACTGGAACAACGCTTGAAGGTTGGCAACCCCCTATTTATATACGAGCTTAAATCATTAGTGTTGACAAGTTATGCATTCTTGCTGATGGACAGCAACTATTCAGCGTTAGTAGGAACTGCAGATGCTGGAGAATCCGAGCCTAGGCCCGAAACGTCAGCCTCTCTGCTCCTATGATGCTGCTTGGCCTGCTGTGTTCATCCAGCCCTGCACCTTGTTGTCTCAACTATTCAGAGTAATCTGTCCTTCCCAGACAACTTCCCAATAATTAAACCGGTAGTGTTGAGAAGTGGAAACTTTGGCTGAAAATCTATTTAATACACATCAAGTGTGGGTCGTCTGCTCAACCAATCCTGCACAACTACAGCAGCTGGTTATATTAGTGATATTCCTGTTCTGTACAGCTCAGTGCCATATCTCCCTGTCACTGAGGCTAACAAAGTCTCCCAGATAAGATATTTGAATGCATGTATGATTTCTACATTAATGGTTGCATTTCTTGGTTGTCCATTTCAATTTCCAAAAATGATACGGTTTTGACAACATTTTGTTTCCTACTGAGTAACTTATTTGAAATTTTTTTTTAGGTCACACACCCACCACCTAGTTGCAAAAATGGCTCAACTGCGTGGTTTGTTATTGTTCACACTCTTCAGCCTAACCTCTTTCACTCAAGCACAACAGGGTAAGAACTGAAGAGATTGAGCTGTATTTTGTTTTTGATGCTGGTCATCTCTCTTGATAATGATTTGTGTGAACATGAAACTGGGCAGTCAGTAGAAGTAACTGATCATTATTTTCTTTTAGAAATTTTGAGGTAAGTCTTGTTCTAACTTCTCACTCACAGAACATACTGCATAGCAAGCTACAAATAAAGATTATTATATCTCTTGTTATGTATTACAATGCAGACTTGGGTGATGTTAATGGAAAAATTCAAATGTTTATTAATAAGCATTTCTTTTTAATATTGAAATGATATAAATTGATATGTCGGTGAAATGAGATTGGTGTATGAGTGAGCATCACTATAAATTTGTGGGAGGAATGGTCCCCCAAACACACCCTCAGCCCTACCCTTTCATTATTTCAGTGAGTTCCTGATTAAACTCCCCCCTTGTCATGTGCAAGTGCCAAGTGGAGACTGGGCACTTTCACACTGATGGGGAAAGAAGCACAGTTAGGGGAAGTTAAGTCAAACCGCACTTGTGAATCTCCGAGTGACTGCTTTCAGATTAGTCTAAATGGGATTAGGTTTCCAATCGATCTCCTAATAATTGCTAATCGCCAGTCAGGTTTTGGATCAAAGCTTTGAGCGAGATTTTGGGAAATTTCTTTCTTTTTGAATAATATCTCACCTACTCCTTCTATATTTGCTTCTAATGGCTTGAAGGTTTTGGTTAGCGACGGTTTCAATGAATTTTTCACAACAACTGAGAAAGTTGTGGAACACCTAAACTGCCCGCCCCTCCCCAGACCCTTCCATTTCGCATTGGACTACAATAAGGTGAAAGGGCATGAGGTGCGGTGTGGGATAGGATATAAGGCATAGACGCCATGGCGGGTTGAGCACAGAGGGGCCAGAGGGTGTGTTAACTCTTGCAATGCAAACAAATTAATATTACTGACATTCTATAATGCTGTAGAAAAGAAAAAAAATTGGCTGTATTTAGAGAAGAAAATGCCTCTGTATTTAAGACAGTCCTAAACAGCTTTTCTTTCTTAAAGATGACAGAACAGTTGCTGCTGACATAGTCTTTCTAGTGGATACCTCCTGGAGCATCGGCCAGGAAAATTTCCAATATGTGCGAGAGTTTCTATTCAGGGTTATAAAGGCTTTTGAGATTGGAGAAAACAGATTCCGTTTTGGCCTGGTGCAGTACAGCGAGAAGCCACAAACAGAGTTCCATTTTAACACATATTTTACGAAGCAGGACATCTTATTTCATATATGGAACATGTCATATAAGGGGGGAGGCACAAAAACTGGACTAGCGCTAGAATATCTAATGAAGGATCAGCTCAATAAAGCCAACGGGAGTAGAGCGGAACAAGGAGTGCCGCAGATTATTATAGTGTTAACAGACGGACGATCTCAGGATGATGTAATCCCTCCGTCTGCTTCCCTTAAGTCAGCTGAAGTTAAAATTTATGCTATTGGAGTTCACCAAGCGGTTGAATGGGAGTTAAAGGAGATTGCGAGTGAACCTCATGAGAGGTTTGTTTATCACCTCGATGACTTTGCCGCACTTAAAGGCATTGTAAACGACTTAGTGGCAAGTGTACACACGGCTGCAGCGCACCCATTATCTGATGGGATAATAAAAGACACCACAGGTAAACAGCTAGCCTATAACAACTGCTACTTTGCTTACCCTGCTCAATTTATGAGGCTTCTCAAACAAATGGAAACAAAAGCTCCCCCGATGGTTCAGCTGGTAAGGCTAAGATTATTTGAAAAGCTGAGCTATACAGACCAGGAAGGACCCAGGTTCAACCCCTTGGTCTGTGCTGAGTTAGCTGATCTCAGCTAGGGGAGGCAGAAATGGGTGCTGCAATTGGCCTCAGCGCCTGGGGCTAGGGAGGGATGTAAAATCAGCCAGGGTTCCTGTTCCTGATTGCTAAACACTGACTCCTGCTGAAAAGAGCATGGATAGACAGAATGGGAATTTGGCAATGATGCCCTCCATGTATCAATGGGCTGCCAGCATTTGCTGCCTGCACTCACCCATGAAGACATCCACTTTGGCAAATGTCCGTGAGATTTTCTTCATCAGTGGAATGGTCACTCAGCATGGAGTCAATGCCATCAGGAAAGGAGGGGAAGAAAAAATGCAGTAGGGCTTTTAATTATTGAAAGCCCTGACTTCATGTCAATCGGATTCTAAAGTTAAATGAATGAGCAAAGAGCAGATCCACTTTAGAGTCTATGTTCTACTACTAACATCACTGGCCCTCATATTATTGTATCTATTTTAATTAAACACCCATAATGCATCTGTGTCAGTGCCTTGCTACAAATTAATAACAATTCACAACTAAAATGCACTGTCATCAGCCAGAGTGCAGAGAAATGAAAATGATTTCACAGTTGCTGTGGCATGACCATGCAAATGGCTTGACAAAGCATTCGAAATGTACTTGTTATTTTACACAGCACATTTGGAGGGTATGTGGGAATGGGAAAAGGGACCTTTTCTGGATTTGCAAGTTTTTGACCAACAGAGTTTTGGCAGAGCAACAGTGCAGAGTGGTACGAAGAGGAATAATTCAAATCAGGTTGAGAAATGAGACCAAATGAATAAATATCAGCTAGTGAATGGTGTCAGCAGATATATTAGGAAGAACTTTGTTTGTGAAGTACTAAATGTTTGGAATCATCTCCCAGAAGGAGTTTTGAATGGAATAAAATCGAGATGTTTTCAATAAAACTGGATTAGAAGCTGGAAAAGCTAAGGAGCTAGCAGCCACCGTTAATAATTTTCTAGTTCTGATTCCTATTATGTTCATAACATTTTGGCTTTCATTTGCCACATGTTGAGAGTCCAATTCAATAGAATGAAAGAATTGCATTGAGGTTAAGTACTACCCAAAAGAGAATGAGGAACATTGGCAGTTGAGGTCCCTTCTCTTCATTGGCTACACTTTCAAAATCATCACAGCTTTTGACATAAATGATGGCTTTTGTTTGAGCCAAGATACCACAACAATTATTGCAGCAACTTGAGAATTGTTTAGTGACATCTGTTTGCAATGGAGATGCTTACACCAAGCATTTGAGTGTGGATCTGTCAATCACTCTGAGAAATTAAGATGTAATAAATGCACCCCGGATTTAAGATGCCAGAATGGCTTTAATGGTCATTGAATTGGAACTCTGACGTGTAGTCCCGCATTGAAGCTTATTATAAACATTTCAAGTAACTTACATTAACCTTTCTGTAGGAAACACCAAATGGAGATCAGATATAACCTCTGACAAATGAACCAAATGAAGGGTTTCTCTCTACTAATCTTGGATACCTTCAAGTGATTGTGATTCAAAGCTGGCATTACAATGGATTAATTGAAGGTTCTGTTCAGGCATGTTTGGGAAATGTGGTGAGGAAACAAAAATAAGATAAATGAAGGTGGTAAAGCATTATTAAGAAGTAGTCAAAAAATGGCTAAGAATGGAGTTTAGATATTTTTAAAAAAATGATAATGGTGATAATGTAATTCCAGAATCCCATTTTATGAGAAATGGCGAAGCACAGGCGTTTTGGAATTAACCAGAGTGTCAGGAAACCCTTTGTCTTCTCAGTGCTTGACCTCTCTGTTCACTTATGTTGCTATTAACATCCAAGAGCTTTGCTACCACTGTATTTTCAGCTGTGTGCACACCATGTACTTTTACACACCTGCTTGTGTTGTACGAAAGGCTGTGTCACGATGCACAATGTTAATCCCAAAAAGGTTTTAACTTGTTCTGCATTCTTTGATTGAAAACAAAATAGGTATATGATGACATATGGTGATTCTGAAAGTTGCTATACTGACATTCAGCGAAACAACATGGCAAGCGGACTTGTATTCAATTTCTGTTTTACTCTGTTCCCGATCGCAACTGCATTAAGCAGTTAAACACCAAAATAAGGTTGTGGCATTTTCCAGAATGGTGAAAATGGAAAATTGGAAGGGAGAGCATGGATCATTGCAGCTGCTGACAGAAAGAGTTAGCGGCAGTGAAGATATAGTAAAAAATAAAATATAAATTCTATAATAGAAACAAAAAGGCTCAAAGTGCCCTGAAATAACCATTGCCTTGACATGTAGATGAAGTCTGAGAACTCAATAATCTTTTGTAAACCACAGTATGTTCTCTACCTCTAAAATATCTATAGTGCCAGGTATTGTCTAATTATTTAACCAGTTTGTATTGCTGCTGTTTCTTAAATAGGGTAACCTGTTGAATTCATTTCCCAGGACAACTCAACTCCCTCATCAATCAGTACATTTTTTGAGGGATGAGATGGCCCAGTAGGTTAGTATGGTATTATTTCACCCCAAGCCAGAAGGCTTCAGCTCCTCAGTCAGTTTAGCAATTGGTGAGGTACCCACTGTCTCAATTCCCATGGGTTAAGGGAGGAAAATGTAAAAGGAACAGAGTTTCCATAGCTGATTAATTTTGGGTGATATGTCCCAAAAAAGCCCATGCTTTTGGACAATGTGTAAAGATGAAAATGAGCTAGGTTGTGATAGGCCCAATTAGCAACCATCTTGTCCTAACTAACTGCCCAAGCTCATGTGAGATGAATGTTTTCATCCCCCCCCGACAAAACAGACACACACACACACACACATACACCATCCCCAATGGCACCCCCAACCTGGGGGAGTTTGTACCATTGGAACCACTAGGTGAGAATGGGAAAGTAAGAAAGAAAACAGGTGAATACCTTGCAGCTGTAACAGTGATGACACGTCATTGATTTAAATGAATAGATGGTCTGTACTTCCCTATTTTCATACATTGAATGTTATGATACCAAATTGTCACCAGGGATACTTATCATTCTTGGTATCAATGCACAATAGGAAAAATGTGATTAAGTCAATACAGTTTCGTGCTGTAGTGAAACAATCTTTGTCTAACGCCTTAATTTATAACATAACTATTCCGGCTTCCACCATCAACAATGGCAAATATGTAACCACAGATACTATGGCAAAATGGTCACCATGTTTACTTTCCTAACAGTGTTTACATTTCAACAGTAATCTATTGATGGTGATTCATTTTTAGGGGTTCTTAAGAGATAAAAGGGTTTATAAAATTGTAGTTTTATTTTTCTTGCTTCATCTTAATAATGCCTGCCCCCACACGATACATAACATGGAACATAGTTCACGGCATGACTGAAAAGTAATGTTGGTATGGGTCAACTGTGTATGGTTGGCATCCCTAAGACTCAGGTCAAGCTGAGACAAATAATCAGCACTGTAACAGCAAATACTTTGAAAAACATTTGCCTGTTGATATCTGGCCTAACTTGTAAGTGTAGATTCAAGAAAATGAAGAGTTAAAACAGTCAGAAAGTCTGTTTTTAAAGAGTGTCTTCCAGATTAAATAAAATGTTACATAGTAACACTTATCAACTTCAATACGCTCATTCTTTTTCATATTGTTAGAGTGTTATCTTATTTAAACAGAGAGTTCAGATAAAATAATTGAGGGAAATGGTTAAGCACAACAGCATGAGGGAGTAGAGCTAACAAACACCAATGAACCTGAGACAACCTTAGATGTACTCCACATCAATTTTCTTATATGGAATACACTGACTGAATACTATGAAATAGTATTGATTGTGATAGACATGATATGTTGACTCATCAGGAATCTCTAGCAGCACTGTGTGATATTTTTGCTGTTAATTCAGCTCCCTCATTCATTTGGAGCCCAGTAACTTGATTTTGTTATCTTCAATGATGCCATTTTGCACAATTGAAAGAAAGGAAAAATAACACAAACAAAAGAAAACAAAGAACTGCATGTGCTGGAAATCAGAAACACAGAAATTGCTGGAAAAACTCAGCAGGTCTCACAGTATTTGAGAAAACAACCTAATTGTGTTTACAAATCACATTTCTTTATTTTTTTGAACTGTCACCTCTAACTTATTCTTTTAAAAAAAAATGCAGCCTGTCCAATGTATTTCCAGTCAGTTTGAAACAGGAATGAGGGAACGGAATTTTGATGATCCTTCAAATTTGCTCCTTAAATATATGTTTGGGACTTATTTTTCCAGTTGAATGTGTTGGCTGTAAATTTCCAAAGCAATTGAATGAGTTTAGATAAAGCTCTTATTTTAAGATTCATGTATTCTATCTGTAATGGACTACAGCAAACGTTAACCCAAAATTAGAATATGTTGCTCAAATGAATGGTCAAGCCCAGCAGAGATGCTGCAAGTATTTAAAATGGTCAAAGAATGCAGAATGGAGTATAAAATCCCACATTGGCAGACACTGCTTTATTGTTTATGTTCATGGCAATGTGTTTGACACTGAGTTCCACACACAATTTAATCTCTCTGCTGTTAATCCTTGCATGGAGGTCACTGTTTTTAACATGTTCACCTTTTGCATTTGTCTTTCTCTTTAAAGCGCAAGAAGCGGCTGACCTCATTTTCTTAATTGATGGATCAGTCAACGTTGGAAGTGGCAATTTTCAATATATACGCGATTTTATCGTAAATTTCATCGACAATCTCGAGATCGGCCCTGACAGAATCCAAATCGGTGTGGTACAATACAGCGATGAGCCCAGCACAGAGTTTTATTTTAATACATATTCCACGAAAACAGAGGTCCTGGATGCTGTGAAGCAACTTCAACCAAAAGGCGGTGATGAAATAAATACTGGTGAAGCCGTGCAATTTGTAATCGACAATCACTTTATTTCATCAGCCGGCAGCAGGGTATCAGAAGGGGTTCCACAGGCAGTAATAATTATCACTTCTAGTGAGTCCAGTGATGATACAAATCAGGCACAACTATTACTAAGAAAAGGTAGTATATACACATTTTCTATTGGAGGTCGGGATGCCGACTCTAATGAACTCGTACAGCTTGCAACTGACGCATCCTTTTCTTCCATGGTGTCGGATTTCAGCAATATTGCTAACTTGCAGCAACAGTTTTTACCATTGGTCTCAAGAGTGGCTCGAAGGGAAATAATTATCGAGCCTATAGTTATTAACGAAGGTATGTATACTCTGAATTTAGTCCTGACTGTTTGCAACCTAACAGATGTGCAAGAGCCTTATTGTCATCTCGAAGATTATTGATAACACAAATGACCCAATAGTTTTGTTACGAAGGTTGGAAGAGCAGAGCTGCCCTTATTAATTTTCAGCTTCTGTTTGAATGGTCTAACAGGTGGGTAAACGGTGGGGCTTGGAAAACGTTTATTTTCGTGGAATGTTTATGCAACTGCGTGTGTAATTGGGGCAGTCAAAATAATAGTTCAGCTCAAAGTCCTTCCTCGTCTAAATAATGATGTGTATTCAGAACTCTTGAAAAAGATTAGATCCTCACCACTCTGTATGGTGTAAATGTTAGTGGTGATCAAACATAATGAAGATACATGGCCAATAAAACCTAAAATGACTCCCTAACCAGAAGTAAAATCTCATATGTGAAGGAGAATGCAAAATACCATCCACTGTTATTTTCTTCCAACAAACTTCCTTCAGCAGAGTATGTCTTATGGTTGCCCTGTGCCAATTTCATTGGTATTGGCAAGGGCTCACTTTCCCCTCAAAGATGCAAGTTTTGCTGTGAGACCTATTTTAAATAATGTACTCATTTATAAGAGCAGTATAATTTTGTCTTCTGTCTCTAGCAGCCAACAGATCATCAGGAAATTGGATCCCTTACCTATGTTGCATTATGAGTAATATTTCCGTTTGTAGTCATTCAAGCATTCAGACACTATTTGTGTTGCTTCAATAGAAATAAGAAAATCTTTGTTTATATTTTCCAAACATTACAACCATGGCTTGATCTTAGGTTATTGGAGAAATCAAAATAGGTGTGTCTATTTATTTGTTTTCTCCACGTTTTGAAGGCTTCTCATCACTTTGCTGTTAATGGATGTAGATTTGATCCAAGAGGGGGAGATAATCCAATTTGCTGCAGGGAATTCCATACATATTCAATCTCATTGCAGAAACCTAGTTTTCACAGGTGCTTTCACCCTAATTTTCCAATTCGGCACTTCTGGCACACCAGTGGAAAGTCAATATTTTAAAATCAACCTGTTCAGACATATTTCTGAAGCAGGTGGGCGTTGACCCAATATCTTCTTGCCCAGATGTAGAGACACTACGACTGTGTCGCAGGATCCCAAAAACTGGAACATGAGCCCTTCGCCATTCTGTAATTTGTTAATGGTTACAATGCTGCAAGTGTGAAACTTTCTGATATTGGTTCAGAGATACTGAGGTGAAAAAAATGGATCTCTTTGCTTGTTTGGAAGTAGAATTGTTCCTGAACTGTTTGACACAGAGGGTAGTAGTCTCCAAGCATCATTTAAAAGGGAGAGGGTCTCAACCATCTGTGAGCTGCAAACCTACACATGAGACATATCTAAGCCCTGAGAAAGGATTACAGTAGGATCAATTCTCATAATGCAACAAGAGAACACAGCAGGAACTCCATTGCTACGTGGAAGACCCAATGAAAAGTTTTTAAGTTTAGAAAGTGAATGAGCAACCCCAAGGAAACAGGAATTGATGTATGTAAGGACCATGCAAAATGGGTCCTTTTCTGCCATCATGACGCAAGTGGTGTGATGGAGTCATCAGGGTCTCTGCTCATTCAGACAAAGATGCTTAACCAGTGGAGTCAATGGTACCAAAGCAACAGTAAATTTTGCAAGGGTACGGGGGAGAACAGGAGGAAAGTGAGAGGTGACTGGCAGCTGCCTCCAGCTTTAATGTGGGGCTCAAAGGAGCGCTGCAATGCCCTTGGGCTCTTGTTCTTGATCTGGCCCATTTTGGTGTTCTAGACCTTTTTTTATTCATTCATGGAATGTGGGTGTCACTGGCTAAGCCAGCATTTATTGTCTATCCCTAATTGCCCGGAGGGCAGTTAAGTGTCAACCACATTGCAGTGGGTCTGGAGTCACATGTAGGCCAGATCAGGTAAGGATGGCAGTTTCCTTCTCTAAAAGACATTAGTGAACCAGATGGGTTTTTTGGAAAATTGGCAATGGCTTTGTGGTCATCATTAGACTATGTTTTGTTGATTTCAAATTCCATCATCTGTTATGGTGGGATTTGAACCCGGGTCCCCAGAAAACCTGAGTCTCTGGATTAGCAGTCCAGCGCTAATACCACTAGGCCATCACCTCCCCTAAAGAGGAACATTTAGGCTCTTGCAAATATGACTCCATTGCAGAGACGTGAACACAGCATACATTGATTGATAACACTGACATTTTATCTTGGCCATCTCTTCCATCGAGAATATTGACTTTAACCTCATTAAGTGGTCACATTGGAGCTGATGGGTTCTAAAGAAATGCTCTTCTGTATAGGACTGAAAGATTTTGTGGATTTTGAGCTAAACACAAAACTTTCAGCTCTAGGTTTGATCGATGGCAATAACGATTCTTTTGAAGATTTGTGCAGATTGAGTCCAGATCCTTATCTTAAAAGTATCCTGAACGCAGCACAACTGGATACTAAATTTTGGGGTGAACAAGTTACTGTTGTGAGAATGGAATTGTTTCACTGGTGCAAGTGGAGGCTATTCTTGGGAGATTACTTCAGTGCTGAGCTAACATTATTTGATGCTGACACCATGTTCTCAAATTAGAGGGATCCACTGTTTAGCACTGATGTCTTATCTTGATATGCACAAATTTACAAGATAAATTCATTAAAACAGCTCTGTTTGCGGTAGAGCTCAGTTCAGAAAAAAAAGTAATGGATGGGAAAAAGATAGCACCTGTGTGAAAAAAAAACTCCAGAAAATAGCAAGGTTTAAGATACTTGACAAACAAACCTGTAAGTTTATCTGTATTTTTTTGTCAGTTTGTCGGGTGTGAAAACGACTTCAAAATCAAACTAACTTACAATTGTTTTACAGTTCCAGACAGGAGGAGAGACATAGTATTTCTGATCGATGGCAGCTCTGCAGTTGGACATCAAAACTTTTTGCGATTCCGTGAATTTATCTTGAAAGTAGCTAACAAATTTCAAATTGGACCAAATAACGTACGAATTGCTGTGGTACAGTACAGCGATGGTCCTATCACTGAGTTTTACTTAAATACCTACTCAACCAAATCTGAGTTACAAGCCAAAATAAAGGCACTGCGATCAAGAGGTGGATCAAAACTTAATATTGGAGCTGCCCTGCAATTTGTCTTAAAAAACCATTTTATCGAATCTGCAGGAAGTAGAAAAGAGGAAGGTGTTCCTCAATTTCTAGTGCTTGTTGCCAATAGACCATCTACAGATAGTTTTCGTATCCCTGCACTTGAATTGAAGCAAGCTGCTATAATGACTTTTGCCATTGGAGTTGATAAGGCAAATCAAGCAGAGATGCAGGACATTGCATTCCTCCCAGTTCTGGCATTTCAAATGGCCAACGTTGCAGATTTACTCAAAAGGCATAAAGATGTGCAATCAAAGTTATCCTCACTTGGTCCTCCAACAGTGATTACAGAACCTCCAACTGTCATCGAAGGTACTGAAATCTAATGTATATTGTTTTGTTTCGCTATCATCACATGTATATAGTTCTGCTAATATCAGTGTAATATTTTTTCGCAGATCCCCAAATGAAACTGAGCCACATGTATCTTGTTTAAATTAAGTGAAGTGTTAAAAGTAGTTAGAATCCTCTTTGAAAGAGGGAAACAAAATCACAGCAAGATGTTCTTTTTTTTCATTTCTGTTCAGTCTGACGTGCTGAAAAGTGCACCTCTGAATCATAGAATTGTGGAGTGATAAAACACAAACATAGAAAATAGGAACAGGAGTAGACTGTTTGAGCCTGCTGCACAGTTCAGTACAATTATGGCTGATCATCCAACTCTGTACCCTGTTCCTGCTTTCTCCCCATATTCTTTGATCCCTGACAAGTATGTCTAACTCGTGGAAAACATTCAAGGTTGTGACCCCAATTGCTTTCTGTGGCAGAGAACTCCACAGGCTCACCAATGTCTGGTTGAAGAAATTTCACTTCATTTCAGTCCTAAATGGCCTACTGTATACGCTTACACTGTGACCCCTGACTCTGGATTCCCTCGCCTGCATTTGATTTGCCTAGTTCTGTTAGAATTTTATTGATTTCTTTGAGATTCCCCATCATTCATTTGAACTCCAGTGAATAAAGTCCTAACTAATCCAGTCTCTCGTCATAATGTCAGCCCTATCATCCCAGGGATCTGTCTGGTAAACCTTCATGGCACTCCCTCCACAGCCAGAACATGCTTCCTTACATAAGTAAACTCCACATGCGGTCTCTCCAATGCCCTGTACAACTGCAGCAAGGTATCACTTCCTGGAATTGAATCCTCTCACTATGAGGCCCAGCATTCCATTTGCCTTGTGCAATGTCTGTTGCACCTGCATGCCTACTTTCATGTGACTGGTGTATGAGGACTCCCAGGTCTTGTTGCATCTCCCTCTTTCCCAATCTATCACCACTCATATAGCTCTGAATTCCTGCTTTTGCTACCAAAGCGAATAATCTCAAATTTATCCTTCATCTTTCACGCATTTGCCCACTCGCTCACTGGTTGAAATGACACTGAAACATCGCTGCATTCTCCTCACATTTCACCCTCACACCCATCTGCATCTGCACATTTGGAGGTATTACATTTAGTTCCTCATCTAAATCATTAATATATATTGTAAATAATGGGGTCCGAGTATTGATCCCTGTGGCACCCCACTAGTTAGTAGTTGCCACAACAGGCTAATTTTAATTGATGGAAAACAACAGTTTGTTCAGTTTCATAAAACAATCCTAAAGTATTCTTCAAAGTGAATCGTTGTCATAGCTGATTAGTAATGCTGCTGTCTTCCCGTCAGAGTTGAGATCTCCCAGGGTGTTAGTCAGTTTCTAACCATTTTGTCTGACGTGCTGTAGATTAACCTGTTTTCTCTTTCAGTTGTAACAGAAGTAGTGAGCAAGAGAGACATTGTGTTCCTTATTGATGGATCAGCTAATGTTGGAAGTACATATTTCCCTGTTCTCCGTGACTTTATCGGCAACATAATTGAAGCCCTTAACATTGGACCTGACCAAGTGCAAGTAGCCGTGGCGCAGTACAGTGATGATCCTCAAGTTGCTTTCTATCTAAACAGTTACTCGAGAAAGGATGAACTCCTATCTCACGTCAATGGGCTCCGACTGAAAGGCGGCAGGACTCTTAACACCGGTGCAGCATTGGAGTACGTTATTAACAACATGTTCAGCAAGTTGACGGGAAGTAGGAAAGAGGAAGGCATTCCCCAGATATTGGTGCTTGCCACAGCTGGGAAGTCTCAAGATGATGTGAAAGCATCTGCACAAGCCTTGGCACAAGCAGGCATTCTCACTATTGCTGTTGGAATCAACAAAGCAGAAGCAGCAGAGCTGCAGCGTATTACATTCAGTGAAAATCTGGCTTATCGAGTAAATGACTTTAACGCCTTGGATACTATCCGACAAGCAGTGACGTCCTCTGCTAAACACCTGATTTTTGGAGGAATCACTGAAGTAACGACAGGTATTTGTCTTTTTTTCTGAAGTGTGTAATTGTTTTTCACTTTTCTACCTTTAGGGTACTAAGTGTTGGCATTCTTCACTGGAGTACACTTGTGATGTTTAATGTGAAGTTAACAGCATTTCTCACTCATAACCTGTGGAATAAGTGGTATTAACAAGGAAACAACAGGACGCTGCATCTGTTAATATAATCCTGGTCTTATTTTGAAAACATGTTAAATGTTATTTAAAACCAGAAAGAACTGTGGATGCTGTAAATCAGAAACAAAAACAGAAATTGCTGGAAAAGCTCAGCAAGTCTACCAGCATCTGTGGAGAGAAATCAGAGTTAATGTTTCGGGTCCAGTGACCCTTCCTCGGAACTGGAGTCACTGGACCGGAAATGTTAGCTCTGATTTCTCTCCACAGATGCTGCCCAGACCTGCTAAGCTTTTCCAGCAATTTCTGCTTTTGTTAAATGTTATTTAACAATTTTGTGCCCTGTCATTCTTTTCTTAAGACTGCTTTGTGGTGTTTGAGTGAAGAACACTGCTGGGCAAAAGATATTTTTAAATTTATTGTGAGTCAGGAGGTAAATTGCTTTATAAGGCCAACAACATTGTATTATATTAACAAATGTAAGTGACTTGTCCTTTACAAGGCTTAAATTCTGTTACAGGTCTATTATTAAGATAATAAGTGAGCAGGCCTGTTGTACAGATGTAAATTGAGTTGCAGCAGACAACCTGGCCTTTGCATTTTGTGCTTTAGGAGAGTTTCTGTATTTATTTTAGACTTTCCGCTGAAGCTTAAACAGAAAGTTGAATGAGAAATTTGGCTCTGACACCAAAAAAGCCAGAAAATAAACATCAGATTCCAGGCAACAAGGTGCAGAGCTGGATGAACACAGCAGGCCAAGCAGCATCATAGGAGCAGAGAGGCTGATGTTTTGGGCCTACACCCTTCATCAGAAAAGGGGTAGGGGAAGGGGGTTCCGAAATAAATAGGGAGAGAGTGGGAGGCGGATAGAAGAGGGATAGAGGAGAGGATAGGTGGAGAGGAAACAAACAGGTCGAAGAGGCGGGGATGGAGCCAGTAAAGGTGAGTGTATGTAGGGAGTTAGGAAGGGGATAGTCAGTCCAGGGAGGACGGACAGGTCAAGGGGGCGGGATAAGGTTGGTCGGTAGGAGATGGAGGTGCGGCTTGAGGTGGGACGAGGGGATAGGTGGGATGAAGGGTCTAGGCCCGAAACGTCAGCCTCTTTGCTCCTATGATGCTGCTTGGCCTGCTGTTTTCATCCAGCCCTGCACCTTGTTGTCTCGGATTCTCCAGCATCTGCAGTTCCTACTATCTCTGATCAGATTCTAGGCCTGAGTTTTCGCTCCTGCGTCCAGGAACAGGAGTTGGGAAATCTCCCAGCTCACCACACCCATCTCAAGAGAAGCTCACCTAAATGTTGGGTTCTTCATCCCGTGAGTCTGTAGTGGCTACTATGAATGCCAATGTGCCAAGGCAGATCGTTTACAAAGCGTGGTTCAGTTCTCTGGAATTTCACCCAGTTTTTTTGTTAAATGTAGCCTTCCATTCTCATCTCCCTCACCCCATGCAAAGTCATTCGAACCCACACCACTCACCAGCTCGTGGCCTCCTTTAGTACACATGCCATCTTAATGCTGACTCACATTGACTGATGCCAAGTACACATACAACGCCTACGGTGTGGAAGCAGGCCATTTGGCCCATCAAGTCCACACCAACCCTCTAAAGAGCATCCCACCCAGAACCACCCCCTTACCTATCCCTGTATTTCCCATGGCTAATCCACCTAGCCTGCACATCCCTGGATATTATGGGCAATTTAGCATGGCCAATCCACCAAAACTACTTATCTTTAGACTATGGGAGCAAACCAGAGTGCCCAGAGGAAACCCACGCAGATACGGGGAGAATGTGCAAACTCCACATGGATAGTCACCTGAGGCTGGAATCAAGCCAGGTCCCTGGCACTGTGAGGCAGCAGTGCTAACCACTGAGCCATCATGCCACCCTCTTAGAGCTCCTTGGCAACTTAATGCCAGTTCATACCACCCCATCCTTTGCCTTCAATGCGTTCACCTTCAATGCCAACTCACAGCATCTGTCATGGGCTGACCGGAGGAGTCATGTTGAGATGAAACAAAATGAAAGATCTCAATACCTACTACTGCCTTTATCAAAATCATGACGAGCATGGATAGGGTGAATAGCCAAGGTCTTTTTCCGAGGGTGGGGGTGTCCAAAACTAGAGGACATATGTTTAGGGAGAGAGGGGAAAGATTTAAAAAGGACCTGAGGGGTAACTTTTTCACGCAGAGGGTGGTGCTTGTATGGAATGAGCTGCCAGAGGAAGTGGTGGAGGCTGGTACAATTACAACATTTAAAGGCATCTGGATGAGAATATAAACGGGAGAGTTTAGAGGGATATGGGCCAAATGCTGTCAAATGAGACAAGGTCAGATTGGGAAGTCTGGTCAGCATGGACGAGTTGAAGCCTTGGGTTTGTTTCTGTGCTGTATGACTTTGACTCTAAAAGCAAAAAGAAATCCCATTCATGAAAATCTATTCAAAACATTCAAATCCACTCAAAAATTTTAGTTCCTTATCACAACAAACAGACATTTGAAAGACAGCTAATTTTTCAACAACTTAATCAAAGTATAAATGTAGGACCTCCTGCTTAGGTGACAGTAGGTTGTGGAAAGCAGCCAAAAGTTAATATTGAAATAGTGATATCCTTGGGGTAATGTGATCAAACTTAATTACAATCAGCTTTAAAGAATTTTTAAAACATGTTTTTGCTCAAATCTTACCGATGCAGGCAGCATATCATTTTTAATGGTTTTAAAATATTAAAATATCGTTTTAATGTTTTATAGGTCTAAGCATCAAAATGTGACTACTTTTTTTTAACTTCTAGCTCCCAGGCAGGCTTTTTTAAAAAATTTTTCAAGTTCTGATGATGCAATAACTTCAAGTTTGACAGTTCTACCAACCTTATTCCCCTTCCATAGCGTTTACACATACCCCTAAAAATTTGTAAGTCCCTCCTCATGGGTTAAGACCATTTTTGTAGTTAAACTGGATCAGTCTGAGCTCAACACAGAGACCAAATGGCCCTTCTGAGTGAAGCTTTCCCTTTTCATGTGAATCGTTTCTCACCACTTTTCTCCCCGTGATGAAAAAGGGATCTGTCAGTAAAGGGGGTGAGACTTCTGGGTCTGGATTCCACACGCCACATTAGAAGCTTCATGGAATATCCGTGACTCTGCAGAAGTCCTAGCAAATGGTGTTATAAGTATCCCAGTTTACCATTTGTGGCACGGCTAACCTTAGAGTGGGGAGAAAGCTGTTTTATAATGTCCAGTTTATTAAACTGTGTACCACATGACTGTATTTTTCTGAAGGACTTTCCTTCTCAACCTCTCTCTCAGCTGAGATGTGGTGACCCTCAGGTTAAATCATCACCAGTCACCATTCTGTCTCATGAGAAAGTAGTCCTATGGTCCTGCAGGACTACGACAACTTCATTTTTATGACGCTAAAGCCTATGTATCTGTCACCTAAAGTCACAAGTTGTAGCTATTCCACATTCTTGAAATCAAGGAGCATGACTACTTTATTCTGCTTTCTTACACATGACTGTTTGATAAATTAGAAATTATAGATAGTCCCGACTCTGCAAATTTTGTTTTCCAAGCAATTGATTTTCTTTCTGTTTCTGTAATACAGATGACATGTTGCACATGATGATAAAGATGTTGTTGGGAAGGTAACATAGCATCTATTGAAAGGCTGCCAGCGCAAGATTTTTAAAATAATTACCTTTCATATACAAAAAAGTCTTACATATCATGTGCACTTCCACAATAACATATTCCCTGTCACACTTTCAAATTGTTAGTACAGAATATTTTATAATTTATCTTAACATGGATAAAGGCAACTGAAACCAAAGCATGGGAAATGGAAAGCACAGTTTCTTAAAGGGTGGGTCTTCCACATTTTTCCTCCGACTGTAGATGAGATGAATATGGGCAATTTGAATCAAGTTCTTGTGGACAATAAATCTTGAATTCTTTCTACTTTCTGTAGGTCAGGATTTCTAGTTTGCTCACAAATTGTTTTCTCATAATTCTATATTTTAACTGAATTTTATTTGCACAATTTTTTTTGCTTGTAACTTTTCATGATATACATGTTAATTTTTAAAACTGTTGTAGCTGTGAAAAGAGACATTGTCTTCCTAATCGATGGCTCTCCAGGAATGGGACAATCATTGCATCAAGTCCTTGAGTTTCTAAGCAGAGTAATCGAGATGCTCAATATTGGACCTGACAAAGATAAAGTTGCGGTGGTACAATATGGTACTGGCCAAAAGATTGAGTTTGGACTTGATGCTTACTCAACTAAAGAGGAGGTTCTGGATGCAATAAAAAATCTTGAACCAAATTCAAAAAAACCCCTCAACACTGGTGCTGCACTGGATTTTGTCACAAGGAATGTCTTTAGTGCCTCAGCGGGGAGCAGAAAAGAAGCTGGGGCCACACAAATCCTGGTGCTCATCGCTGCTGGGAAATCCGCAGATAATGTTCAACCTTATGCAGATGCAGCAAAAATGGCTAGAATTGTGCCCATTGCCATTGGGGCCAAGAGTGCAGACACATCGGAGCTGCAAAAGATTGTGCTTGATCCAACCTTTGTTTTAACAATGAGAGACTTCCGAGATCTATCAACCATTCAGCAGGAGCTGTTGTCCAAAATGAGAACAGTGATAATTCAGGCAGTACCTGAAGGTAACAATTTTTCACAGGTTATATTTTATTCAATTAAGTTGCTTAAGAAATTGGCTTGGGATTAAATATTTCTTTCTCCCTTTTGATATGCAAGTTTTGAGTGAAGAAACTCAGCTTTTCAGACTTTTCTAAATTTAAGACAAGACTAACTTTAAATATTATAAATTTGACAAAACAGGTCATTGAAGAGCAGTGTGAAATAATGTTTTTATTCATGACTATGTTTTAGAATGTACCCAAACTGCTTAATACTCTACATGATTGGGATACAGAATTAGAACATAAAGTAATGTTTTTGTTTCTAATTTTATTTTACCTTTTTGGGAACTACTAAAAAAGCATATTATTTTTCACAGTTTATTTTGTTATGTCAATATATACCTCATTATTAATTATTGAGAACTATGATAAGTGAAAATATTGCACTAGAGATTATTTGGACCATTTTTGCAGTGTCCTTGTATATCATAGAGTAGCCTAGGAACACTGTTAGCTATGTGACTAAGAACATAATTTAAGATAAAGATAGATTTGAAAAAGAATTAGCAGCAATATTTTCTGAACTGTGAAAACTCACGCTGGTTCTTAGAAAGCATACAGTCTGTGGCTCCTTCTGGGAATGTAATCAAAGCAGCCCATTTCCATTCATCCAAATTATGGAGAAAGAGGAAAAGACAAACTAACAAAGGCAGGGAATTAAGACAATAAGAATGTGCAGATAAAGAGAATTATCCCAGCCAGCAGTGACTTTGGCTAATGTGGACAGGATTTTTGGCTTTATACTTTCCAGCCTGATGAAACATCAGAGACTGTGGACTTGCATCAATATTTTTAAGCTACTGAATGTGCAATCATTACAACAAGTGTACTGCCTTTCAAAATGTGTAACAGCTTCAAAAAATGCATTAGGTAAAGCCTTGAAAGTGTAATTCAAGTAAGAGGCTGAAAGAGGGTAGGACTGAATAAAAACAGCACAAAAGAATGTATGTGGTGAGGGCTGTTTTTTTTTTCAGCCCCTTTTATTTAGCACTCTTTTATAAGGAGTGAGCCTGGTGATTGGACTTAAAACCAAAACCTGTTGAGACATAAAGTAGACCTCCATTATGAATAAGCACAAAGGCAGTTTAAACAGCATATTAAGGGAGGTAAAGGTCAGACATGAACTTCATTTACAAATATTCCCTGCATAATATAAAATATTTTGTGTAATATTAAGTAATCATAATATTTGAATCAAATATTTTATGGTTATCAGTGACCCAATATTCTGTTTACAGTTCTGTTTTCTAAATTTACGAAATAATATTATACTTCTTTGTTTATCTTGAAGAGAAGAGAGATGTTGTGTTCCTTATCAATGGATCTGACAAGGTTCAATGTGCTTTTCCTATGATAAAACAATTCATTTCTGGAATTACCGGCAGCCTTGACATTGGAAGGGACAGTCTGTGTAGTGATGACTCTAGTCCCAACTGCTATTTCAGCAACTACACATCTAAATCAGAAGTGATGCATGCTATAAATGCCCTGGGTCTGAAAGGAGGAACCCAAGTCAACATAGGGAAAACACTAGACTATGTCACAGAAAACGTGTTCACTAGGTCAGCTGGGGGCAGAATGTGTGGTCCAGTTCATGATCTTTCTCACTGCTGGCAAGTCCACCGATGACATTGCACCAGCAGCTGGGGCACTGAAAGGTGCTGGTGTAGCACCATTCAATGTTGGATCCAAAGATGCTAATGAAGATGAACTCTGCCAAATTTCACTGTCTCCCCACTTTGTTTTCAGGGTAGATGATTTACAGCATTCTCAAACTATGCAGAAAAGTTTAGAATTACCCTTAAAACAACTAAACCAAGAGAAAATAATCACTATCTACAGAAGTTTTGCTGAAGTTTAGGAGGAAGTAGGAGTTTCTTTACTTTTTTATTAAAAAATCTTTGAACAGTATTTTAAAATTGGCAGTACTTTTAATTCTTGTGTAACCTTTTAACCCATTGTTATAATCCATAATTGAGGGTTTAAACAAGCTTTCATATTTTGCTTCTGGATCCTAAATTTCACATTGTCTTTTATAAGGCAAATTAAGTAATAGCAATGATGTTTATCTATTTGCTTCTAATGTGGTCTCTTTGCATTTATCATTGCTGCCATGGTTTCCTACATACCAGGCAACTCATGAAATCAGAAGTGTTTTGAAATATACAATATACAGTATTATACAAAACAAAAGCAATCATACATTTTCACTGATTTGGATAACTGGATAGTATGATCAGCTCTTTATCTGTTGGACACGATGGATAGAACAGCCTTTAATTACCTCAATCATAATTTCAGCATGTAACTAGAGCAGTCAACCTATAAAGGTAGCAAAATGAGACAGAAGTTTTATGTTAGTTGTCCACTTCAAAATCGATCTGTCTGAATAACCTCCGGCTTGATTTTCTAACCAAATTCAAATGAGTCATTTCCACACACTAAAATGAGAAGCCAACTGTACAGCAACTTTGCTCATTTCGCACTGGCACTGCGCTCTGGGTAAATTAAGTTGTTGATTCTTAGCTTTACTTGAGACTTGTAAAAGTGAAGAATAGCATGTGTCCAATCATAGATAGTTTTGGTTGCAATTCCTGCCATTGGAAGTGACTTCTTGTGTTTTCTTTTACTGGTAGTTTATCTTCCTAGAAGAGCTTTGGTGCAAGGCCTTTGAGAGACTGTTCCCCACTTCTTCCCAAATATCATTACTAAATGCAAAATACCCTACATGAGGGCTTCTGAAGAGCTTTTCTAACATGTTCCAGAAGGCTTTCCTTGCATGCCATTGTTGTGGAGAAGGAAGCGGATGATGATAAGATGTAACAAATAAGAATTAGACAGCATTTGAGGATCAACTCTATTATTGACTCTGTCTAACGCCTCGTGCTGTTCCCCTAAACCTAGAATCTAAAGACATCACAGGCCAAATGAGAATCTTTGTGAGAAGATGTATATATATTTGGGGTGGCACGGCAGCTCAGCAGTTAACACTGCTGCCGCACAGCACCAGTGACCTGGGTTCGATTCCACCCTTGGGCGACTGTCTGGTGGAGTTTGCACACTTTCCCCGTGTCAGCATGGGTTTCCTCCGGGTGCCTGGTTTCCTCCCACAGCCCAAAGATGTGAAGGTTAGGTGGAATGGCAGCACTAAATTAACCATTATGTCCAGGGATGTGCAGGCTTGGTGTGTTAGCCATAGGAAATGCAGGATTACAGGGATAGGATGGGGAGGGGTGGGGTGGATCTGGTAGGATGCTCTTCAGAGGGTTGTTGTGGACTCACTGGGCTGAATGACCTCTTTCCACACTGTAGAGATTCTATGATTTTTCAATTAGGATGCAATTGCACAACCTTAGGATCTTTTTTCACGAGAACCTGCAACCACAGACACTATCTAGCTCTGTTCTGTTTGAATACTTTGGCTGCAATCTATTTTAATGGCACACATTCACTTAAGCAATCAGGGGACATCTCTGTGATATCACTTAGACTATCTTTATAGTTGAGAGGTGACCTGGGGACTTCATTAGGTTTCTCATGGTAACTTAGCAGCATCAAGATAAAGCCATTCAGTTTTGATTTTTGTATTGTTTTGCAAAGTCCGGATTGGTCCATTTTGCGGTCTGTTTTCCTTTGAGCTTCAACGGAAATACTCAATTCAGTTCTCATCTTGGGAAAATATGGAACAAGTGACCTTTTTTTAAATAGATTTTGTGTTGTGGACACCAAGCGTTGTTTTTCACCTGTCCTATTTTATTGTGGAGTTTAGCAAGTTATACTCTTAAAAAGTTGCAGCATTTCTCTGTTATTATACAATTCCTTAGTCTCTTGCCAGGGTCTCTGTACTGACTACTCCCATGTTAGACCATTAAGGAAGAGTAAAACCAGTGCTAAACTATGATGCTGCAGTGAGGCCTGAGGAATCTACTTAATTTCCCTTCCTTCTCGGTAGAGGACCATACGTACAGAATTTTAGATTGCAATAAGAGAGTGCGCGGCCAGTGGGAGGATTTTTCCTACTCCTGGCCTCCTACAGGTGGCAATTGAGGTGTGGCCACCAATACAGCCATTTCTACAAAAGAACATTGATGTCCAATGCCACCACAAGTGAAGGGCTAATGGCTACTTGGAAAGTGCCATTTATTCTTTTAATTCAAACAGTCTTCAGCAAAGGATTGGCCTTTGAAAGAGAGGGCAGCCCCAATCTGAAAATTAAAATTATTCAATGAATCTGCTCTGAGGCTCCTGTTGGTAATAGTTCTGCGAATGTTCACAGATTCAGAGTTTAAGGGGTATGGTGTCATAAATTCTAACAGTACAAAGAAAGCTTTCAGCTGCGTTTGAGTAGATAATTCTTGACATTAAAATGTCGAACTTGGAATTGACAATGGAATTGTTGACGAAAATTTCATGTGTGGAATTTTCTCCTCTGTGGAGTGGCATAGGCAATGACAAAAATGATGGGAGAATATGGCATGAGTGAAAAAAATGGGAATGTTGACATTGAGAAAATATTTTCTCCTTAAGCTGTTAAAAGGGAATGTCAGAATTTCCTTTATGTTTAGCAGATACCTTCCTTTCATTCATTTGTATCTCATTATTAGCTCAACTTTCCTCTTCTTTGTGACACTTCCAATTCTCCTGGCCTTCCTTAGGAAACTAGCTGGTGCAGATTCCTGATTTATAAATAGCTGTAGCTTGCTTGCTTCTCCCTGCCATCATCCAACTCTGTCTTCACTACATTGTCCCTGCATGCTCAGTGGGCACCATCCTCCTGCAGCTTTCATCCATGCAAGTCAGCACAGACAACCACTAGCATCACCACATCCCTACGCTCGCGCTCAGTCCAAATCTCACACCACTTCATCCATTCAGGACTTTACTTTAGAATGCAGGGACACCTAAGAATTGCATGCTTTTGTCAGGTCGCTCTGCGTCTGGGGACACACATGCATCTTATGCATCTGAACAGGTTGCATCTTATGGCTCTTAGCTTCATTTCTTAGCACTCACTCACTCTGTGCTTACTGGGAGATTGTCAAACTTAACATTGATTTTTTAGCGGATGAGGTCTCTGGTGCTTAAGAACGGAAGCTGGTTTCTGTGGCTTGCATTGCTTTTAAGTGCAGAGTTGAAGGGATGCAGCTTGTCATGGTTTAGTGCACTGCACAGTCAAAGATGTGGACATGACACTGAATGGCATCATGTTACGTCAGAATGTAGCTTATGTAGCAAACAGACTGCATGTGTTTCCACTTCATGGCCATGTCTGAAAGTCCAAGCAGACCTTTGGAAAAATGTGTGTGTGTGTGTGTGTGTAGGGGCGGAATGCGAGGGGTCTTATCTGATTACAATCTGGGTGTTGCCCATATTTAGCTTCAATCCTGACCAAAGATTATAGATTCATCAGTTGGAGTACTGTTGTGGCAAAAGTTGGTGGGGAAGGGTGTGGAAGTTGGCAGCAGCATTATTTCCTTCAGGGAAACAAAGAGTAGGATTGATTATGATGAAGCTGAATGGAAGAGTAGTTTGTGGTGAAGCAGGAACAGGAGAGGCAGTGAGGTGCTTCAGTGGGTGATTGGGAGCAAAGAGGCAGGAATTGTTAGTGGTTTGGCAGGAGGAGGAGGAGGTAGGTGAGAACCATTGAGTAGTCATGTTGCATGCAGTAATGAGAGTTGTAGTCTTTGTGCTTTAAGCAGATATCTGCAATTTAATGTGAGTGGTGGCCTTTGAGTGCCATGTAGCATAAAGAAGGTGGTGGCATTTACCACTACAGAAGACAGAAGATCATTGACCTTCTTCCTGTGCTGTTGGGTGGTTCGTTTTAACACTGACCTGAGCAATTATTGGGGTCCAAGCTGGCTGTATCTCATGTTGTGGCATCCTTTGCCACCCCCCCCCCCCAACTTTCTGTACCATCCCTCCACCATCAACTCCAGGCGTCAACCTGCCAAGTGGAGAGAGAGCTTTGCTTGCTAAACCATATCGTCAGTGATCATAGTGGGGGGCAGCACATTGTGAGGGGTAGTTCCTGTCCTGTCATTTCTTAAGTGGTGCAAAGCCGGGCTTTCAGTATGGTATCAGTTGTGTCAACATGTATGTTCCCGGCAGTGGCAAGCACTTCCACCTCTCCTGCCTTTTGACTGCACAAGAAGGGTGCTGAAGAGTCCAGATGTATTAATACTGAGGGGAAGAGTGGAAGATTGTGTGTATCCCTGTATCCCAATAGATGAAATAATATGAGAACAGTTACTGAGTCAGTCAAATGGACCCTGCAATTTATTTTTCCCTAGTCTCAGTAAATTATCTGCATAATTATACTTAATTGGGAACCCGTTATTGATTAAATGCTTATTTTGGCGGATCATTTTAGAGGTACCACGTTGTGAAAAAAGATTGAGTGAAATGAATGGGCATTTCACTCTGGTGCCATGAGTCAAGACCCTATTTCTGTTTTATTTTCTTTTTCTATATTGTCGGGTTCATGATACCAAAGCTTTCATGGCGTACTAAAAGCTTTAGTTTTATTACTATTTAACAAAGAAAAATGGATTTTACTCCAATCAGCTGTACAAGAATATTAATGCAGCATATTTTTACACATCAGCACTGGCTCTGAGAAATCTATTTTCAATTCCTCACAGATGCTGTGAAGAGAGATGTTGTGTTCCTTATCGATGGATCAGAAAATGTCAGAGTTGCTTTCCCTTCAGTTCAAAGATTCATTTCCAGAATGGTCGATAATCTTGACATTGGAAGTGACAAAGTCCGAGTTGGTGTGGTGCAGTACAGCGATAATCCCAGAGTCAACTTCTACTTGAACAGCTACACCACACCTCGGGATGTGAAGGATGCGATAAACGGCCTCAAGCAAATAGGAGGCCGCCGAGCCAACACTGGGGCAGCCTTGGACTATGTCAAAAATAACATCTTCACTCAGTCTACGGGTGGCAGAGCAGAGGAAGGTGTCCCCCAGTTCCTGATCCTTCTCACTGCCAGCAAGTCGTCTGATGATGTTGGTCAGGCAGCATTGGCTCTGAAAGAGGCCGGTGTAGCACCATTCAGTATCGGCTCGGGAAGTGCAGATGACCGTGAGCTCCAACAAATTTCTCTGTCCCCTAGTTTTGTTTTCAAGGTTAATGACTTGCAGAATGTGGAAACACTCCAACAACATCTGGAGTCACCTTTAACTACACTGAGCAAAGAACTGATAACTAGAATTCCGATAACTGGACATGTTGGTGAGACATCTCTGCTTTGTTTATTAATCAGAAAGATGAGATCATTCATAATTTTTGATGGTATATGATACAAAGTGAAATTACTAACAACAGTGAGGGTGTGTAATGTAAGGATAGAAAACAACATGGTGATGTTTCAACTAAACGCTAATAAAATCTCTGTGCAGCACCAGTATCTTTGATAGCAAAACAAATGCTTTCCTCTTAATACTGCCCAAGGCATTTCAAACTGAAGCAGTATCCATAGGCAGGAGCTCATAAACTCTCTGTGAAAGTGATGGGATTTAATATCTGCTGTGCAAACTACAGTTTGGATGGTAGCAATCTAATACAGTGCGTAGGAATATCTGATCCTAGGATTTAAGAGCAATCTCAAACCATTTGACCCTTGCAGCTTGCTGTGCCATTCAGTAGCATCACGGATGAACTGATAGTGATCTCAACCCCACTTTTCTGTGTGCCCCAATCGTACTTGCAAAGTGGTATCAGTGGTGAATGTGAACATTAGCTGATGTCCACTATTTTGTGATGGCATTTAACAGTGCTCAGGGAATATCTGGCAAAAATATGCAAAGTAGATGGCCTGTGATGTGAATCATAGTGCGGTGCTGATTTAGCACTAGAGCTGCAACCTTGGAGCTCAGTGTTTCAATTATCCCCCTCTCCTCATAGAATCGTAGAATCCCTACAGTGTGGAAACAGGCCCTTCGGCCCAACAAGTCCACACCGAACCTCTTAATCCCAGGCATTCGGCAGCAGGAGGAACCTTTCAGCAGCACTGTTTATAGGGATCATCAACTACTTTCAGGTTAGCTATGGGCTGATTCCTATTGATTGTAGAGGTGTTTTGGTGACCAAAGTTAATTGAAGTGGCTACATAATAACTTAAAGTATTCTTCACAGATCACTTATTCCAATGAATAGGTGAAGTTTTCAACCCGTTATGTAACATTACGAAAGGAAGGATACGCAGGCCCAACAGGGAGCAGGACAAGCTGTTGGATGAGAAAGGGGTGGAGGGAGTTCATGTCCACTCTAAGTATTTGTGAAACAATTCATCTATCTCAACCTCAGCAAGTTTCCACTTGCTTCAGGGAAGTCCTTGCCACCTGCTACGGTCATAACTGTAGCCTCAGAAGATAGTGAGGACCTTTACACCAGTAGCTGCAAAGGCACTTGTGAATGTATATTTGTAAAAATGTGCTGCATCTTCTCGGCTACAGCTGGTGATATAAGTATCATCACTCAATTTGGTATCCGCTGATCTGTTAGAAAGGTCCATTGAGAAAGGCTGCTGAATACGTTTCACTTTCCCTGGCTAGAAAGAAGCAGGTGGAGTGAGCACACACTCCAGGGATCGCAGACCTCCCTCAGCTGCAGGATGTATGGACTGCTCAGATTGCCATTTAGCAGATGCCATGTGTTATGTCTGTCAACTGGAAGTCCATTTAATGGTCCAGCTGGCATCACTCTTGTTAATGCCCGCTATCCTGGTAGCAGTCATGATGTCTTCACTCTGGTTCTCTGTACCACCAACGCTTGAAAAATCAAGATAAACCAATGAGCAACATGCATTTGACAAAAGTCACTGTGCTCACAAAATGCGAATTCAACCATTGGGGTGCTTAACCAATGCTTCCATTGCCTGTACCACTGCATAGGAACCCAACAGTGCAGAGCATAGTATGGGTCAAGATTCATTTTGGCCTCTGACATGCTACACAACCTGTCATCAATTATACAGCTATTGACTCAGGATGAGGTAAATGAAGGGTAACCAATACAGGACTGGCCGAACTATTTTGATTGACACATTTGTCTGTGCTGACACTGAGCATAATCTCAGTTTCCTGTTCACTAAGAATTCCGTACCATACCTTTCTTGTCACAGACTATCATGGCATTCTCTTGAGTACAAGCTAAAACAAAACCACAAAATATTCCAAATTAAATTTATAAATCCAAATCCTGCCTTTAACAAGCAAAGGTTAATTAATCATCCTTTTTAATAATTGCATTGCGCCTACATTATGTTTTATGTTGCTGGACTGATGTGGCACTCTGCTAGCGTTTTTCAATTACTAGTGTCTACAGTTATGATGGCAGTAATGTGGCCATCTGCTGCGGCCAGCTTAGATTGCATGTGAGTTTCTTAAAGCTTAGAACAGGAAGCTGAGCCTGTAAACCTGAGGTTACACTGGGAGTATCCAGGTGTTGGGGAGCTGACCTTTGTCATGTAACAAAAACTGAGACAATGACCATCAGATACTGCATCATGGATGGGTTCACAAATATGTTCACAGATCTGGTCTCCTATTCCATGGAGACCTTAGGCTCTACGTTCTACACAAATCCTTGAGTCAGTTTGGTGGTGGACTCCTTTATGGTCCTTGACATTGACTGCTGCCTATCTGACAGGCTTTCTACCATTTATGTGTATTTATCAACATTCTCCTTTAAGTTGTCCTCACAACTGCAGGACTTGCATGTGACTTTACCCAAGGCTGAGCTTTATACTGTGCCACCTGTGAGCCCTTCCCCGTTTGCAGAAAACTCATGCTTTGTGGGCCACTGCAAGCAGATCCTGTTCCTAAACTATTTCTAAACCATCTTTTAAAGCAGGTACATTGTCACTTTCTGAGTTAGTCACTGTTAAAGCACTGGAATTCATTCCTTCTTTCTCAGTGTCTTCCAGCTCTTTGTCCTCCACCAGTGCCTGATCAATGTGCACCCTTTTGTCAAGTCAGAAGGAAAATCTGCAGGTTGTGGCTATGATCAGGGCATGGTGAAAGCAAGAAGTGCATGTTTACGCTATCTGCAGCTTGTAAATAAAAAGAGATTTTGCGATGTGAGGATGAGGAGGATTGGTTATGACCAAAGATTTCAGCTGTGAAGTCCTGGCCACAGCATCAGTGATGGTTGTTCCAATGATGGAGAGGATCATATGATATTGACAGATTGGGGTGGGGTTGGTGATAAGGACATGCAGCCAAGCCTTTCTATTGCAGAGTAGGTTCTTCTTCTTCTGCATATACACCACTATGCTGCAGGAGGGGAGGAACTGTGCCAGTAAATGTGGTGTTACGTGTGTTTAGGTGATGTGGCTGTCATGTTGAATAACTAGCAATATGTTAACTGTGGTGTAGCTTTGAGGTTTGTAGCAAGGTCAAGTGCCTGAAGCTGCAGTAAAGCCAGGAATGTGAGTTATGAGTTGTGGTTGATGCAGATTGTTGATAGGTGAATAATGGGGTGTGTTGCACTACTCTGCTGCTTTGACTTAGCTTGATAGGTTTCTAAATTAGCCTTCTTTTAAACCCTGCTGTTAATTTGAAGCATGATCTATGGCCCTAATTGCACAATTTGCCAAGACACTAGTTCTACGTGGTTTAGGGTAATAGCTCCCTCTATGTTAAGTAATGGTGTATGTGTTTCATGAATTGAAAACCTTTTCTTCGCACACCATCCTTTGAGCAAAGCACTTTATTGTCTAATCTGCTTCACCATGTGTCAGTTGGCACGTTGCTTGGGTAACAAGCTAGAGATGATTCCATTTTAGGTTATATATTTTAAATTGAATCCTAACTCCTCAAAATCTATCAAATGGAACAAGCTACAATGTTCTTATTGGTTCATTTTTGGACCATGACTACTGGATGGTCCAAGTTCTTCTTCAAGCTCGTGGAGACATCTTTCACTGGGAAAGCAACATACTCCAGTACTCAGTACTTCAGGGTTCTAGTGATGACTGCAGAGAGCAGTATCTATCTCCTTTATTATTCTGTCTCCTGTCAGCACCATGTCCCTTTTTGCTCCCTTCAGTTGAATGATATTATGGTGCCATGGTCAGTTGCTCATCCACTCTGCAGGACTGCGTTCTCCTCCGCACAGATAGTAAGTATCTCAAAGAGTTAATCAAAATCCAGGTTTCTCCCATCTCATACCGAGACTATAGAAAGAGTCAGTGGACCATTGGGTGGGTGGAAAAGTGCAAATGAAGTTCACTCTGGAGAAGTATGAAACAGTGCAGCGGGAAAGCTGAAAAGGCACTGACAGTGACAATAGATGATAAGATACTGGGACTTGTAAAGGAACAGAGAGACATTTGTGTGTATATGCACAATTCATGAAGGCTTTTGAGTAGGTCCAGAAGGCAAATGCCAAGATATGGAACGTACGAGATGGAAGGTTATGCTTGAACTGGCTTTGCCACAGCTAGAGTATCGCTACCTTTAGTATACACCACAACAAAACATGTCTTCCCATCCACTCCTGGGAAGGAAGGATTCCTCAGTGACACTCTTAACCATTCCTCTGTCACCAACAACATCCATCCTTTTGCCACAACACTCTCCTTGCGAGCACAGGAAATGTAGCAACTGTCCTTTTATTATTCCCATCTCACTATTCAAGGCCACAAACACTCTTGGCTTGACAAGGTAGAAGCAGAGAAGTTGTTTCCTCTTGTGGGAGACTCTAAGACCAGAGGGACTTATTTTAAGAATAAGAGGTTGCCCGCCCAGGTCAAATGTGAGGAGGCATCTTTTCTTTTAGAAGGTCATGACTCTTTGGAATTCTTCACTGCAGACAGCTGTGGAAGTTGGGTTATTGAATACATCCAAGGCTGAGTGAGAGAGATTTTTAATCATGAAGAGATTGCAGGGTTATGGGAATAAGGCAGGAAGGCGGAGTTGAGAACTATCAGATAAGCCATGTTTTCATGAGCAGACTCAACAGATAGAATGGCCTGCTCTGCTCCTACATGTTCTGCTCTTCCATGTTGAGTAGTGATTTTCTACTGCTTCCAATTTTGCATACTGTATTTTCTGCTCATGATGTACCCTCGCCACATTGAAGAGATCAATAAAGATTGCGCAATAGCTTTGAGGAACATTTCTATTCATTCTAGGTACTTTAACCTCAATCTTCTAACTGTCTTTCATTTTAATTGCATGCTCTGACCTTCGCAAACTTGACCTGTTGCAATATTCCAATGAAGCTCAGTGCAAGCCTAGCGAGCCAAATTACATCCTTTAACAGGAAATTTTACAATCCGCTAGGCCCAACATCAGGTTCAACAAGTCTAGATTATAAACTCCACTCCCATTTTATTTTGTGTTTTTGGTGACTTATTTTTTCTCTCATATTTCCTTTACTTTGCATTTGGGTGACACCTATTCCACATTGGGCCTTTCACACCTACTCTAGGTAAACCATTTGTTTGTTTCCTTTGTTCCACTTTCATTCTCTTTGGCTTTGAACTATTAAACCTTCTCTCATTCGATCTCTCCTACCCTGTAGATCTTCGTTTTTATTCTTCTTTCCAACCGCACCACTTTGTTCACTTACTTGAAAAATATGGTATTTCTAACTTTTTCTAATATTAATGGAGGATTAACTCGTTTTTTCTCTTCATGAATGCTGCCTGAATATTTCCAGAATTTTATGTTTCTAAGGTAATGTTTTTGACCTTGAGTGGGACTAGACTAGGAATAAAAATGCAATTGACAGCACAAACAGATGGTATAGTTGATGAAACCCCTGTCATTTGTATTTTGCTTAAAACTTCCTCTCCAATAAGGTTCAATTCAGAGGCAGCACCAGGAAATACTGAGAAAGGTTCCAATTAGTCGAGATATTATCGTTTTTGCAGTTTTGAAGAGTGATTTCTTGTTCCTCAAAGGTAATGGTGAATAATATACATATTTATTTTCCATTTTGTACAGATGCTGTTAAGAGAGATATTGTGTTCCTTCTTGATGAATCGGACAAAGTCAGAGGTGCTTTCCCTTCAGTTCAAAGATTCATTTCCAAAGTGGTCGATAATCTTGACATTGGAAGTGACAAAGTCCGAGTTGGTGTGGTGCAGTACAGCGATAATCCCAGAGTCAACTTCTACTTAAACAGCTACACCACACCTCAGGAAGTGAAGGATGCGATAAACGGACTCAGGCAAATAGGAGGCCGTCGAGCCAACACTGGGGCAGCCTTGAACTATGTCAAAAATAACATCTTCACTCGGTCTGCGGGTAGCAGAGCAGAGGAAGGTGTCCCCCAGTTCCTGATCCTTCTCACTGCCAGCAAGTCGTCCGATGATGTTGGTCAGGCAGCGTTGGTTCTGAAAGAGGCCGGTGTAGCACCTTTCAGTATCGGCTCAGGAGATGCAGATGACCGTGAACTCCAACAGATTTCACTGTCCCCTAATTTTGTTTTCAAGGTTAATGACCTGCGGAATGTGGAAACCCTCCAACAACGTCTGGAGTCACCTTTAACTACACTGAGCAAAGAACTGATAACTGAAATTCCGATAATTGTACCTGATGGTGAGACATCTCTGCTTTGTTTATAAATCAGAAAGATGTTATCGTGAATAATTAGTATGATGACCATTTAGAACAAAATTACACTCTGAAC